CATTCTATCAAAGTGTATATCTTATATAAAGTGGTCTAGTTTAATTTATAAATACTGAAATATTAACAATTGCATCAACATCAATAAAGCTAGTTTTCAGGAAGTACGGAGAATTTTAGTCTGAATATTTTGATAAATACATGGAGTGCTATTTTGTTTTTTGGTTTTTTTTTGTTTTTTTTTTGCGTTCTCCCTCACAAAAGAATTGTAGACGAGGCTCCGGGGAAACAATCGAGAACTCGTTTGTTTTCCCGGGTTCTCGATTGTTTCCCCGGTGCCTTGTTGAACCATCGTTAGTAGTTACTAACTAGTATGGTTGAACTTCGAGAACATCGAAGGTGTTGTTGTTTTTTGCTTTTTTTTGTTTTGTTTTGTTTTGTTGTTGTTGTTTTGTCCTATATATGACATGAGGATCGTGAATGATTGTTGTTTCAGAGCATTACAGCTAAACAGACAATCTGTGTTAATTTATGGAGTTAACATCGATCACGTTAGACTGATTATACGTGAATTCCTAGAGTGAAATCACACCAACAAAAACCATTTATAAAGTATCATAATGTTGTATTCTAGAGGCTTCTACATGTCACTATACAGCAATTTATTATCATTGCAGTTCTCCAGCAGATAGCTGAGCTTTTTAGAAATCGCCAAGATAAAATTCGAAATTTAAAATGTCTAGCGTTAACTGCTGAATTAGTCAAACGACACCCATGAAGCTTTACATGTACTTGACAACCGATCTATGCATGGCAACAAAAAGATTCATTGAGAAAGAGTTCAAAAAGAAATACTTAAAAACAATATTAACAAGCGTGATAAAGCGTTGCTAACTATCACAGTCATTAACAGTCGATTGCCACATTTTTCCCGCGCATAGCAACGCAAAGGCCATGGCAACAGTATAGGCACTCGGGGGCGAGCACTTTGTTGTACTAAGTGTTTTTTTAGTGCTGGAAGCGGTAAGGAAAAAGGACGCAATAAAAGACATTAAGCGTGTCATCAGTAAGTATGGAAGTWTATTTTATTTGCCTAAATCATTTTAATGGCGAAAAACAATTAACAATATGAGTTGTGCATTAAGTGTGATCTTGCGGGCAGTGAATATGGTATTGCTGGAAGAACAAAACACTTAAGCTTTGATATGTTAAGTGATTAAACTTTTTCACAGTTTTTTTTTCTTTTCTTTTTCTTTTCTTTTTTTTTTTTTTACTTGAATCACATACAAGTCTATTATAGTAAAGGGAATCAATTCATTTGATTTACACGTAGATAAAAGGGTGCTGCTTGCGACTGATATGTACAAATGTTGACCAAACCCTTGTACTACTAAGGCTTTATGGAAGTTACCAATCTTTTTAAAAATCCAATGTTTTTTTTCATAACACGGCATTGAAATCGATGATAATTCCTTTWCAAGCCTTTTCTTTTGTTCTACTTATATTGTTTTCATACCGGCAAACAACTGACATAAAAATATAAAAGCAAGAACAATGATAATAAAGAAAGAATGAAAGAAAGAAAAAAAAAAGGAGAAAAAATCCTCAAAGGAGGGAAAGAGTTGATTGTGTTTGATGGTTCTATTTCTTCTTCCTTTTTGAGTATAGTTTATTATTGCCATTGTTTCTTTAGATTCTCTTTCTCACCATTTCTCTTTCGATTCAGTAGTTATAGCAACGAAAGACGTCATTCTTTATAAATTACACTCGATGAACCATCATTTGCCGACTGGAATGGAATGAAATAAATCGTATTCAGATCTCCTCATTTATCTGCCTTTTTGACGTTGCCATAGCAGTAATATAGAATAGAATTAGAATGGGAGTGAAATCAAGAATGAAATGAATGGGAGTGATGGATTGTTGCAAATGAAAAGTATTTTTCCTTTTTTCGACAGTGCTCAAGCCCAGGACGCTATTTCTATTGTCGCTTATTGCTTTAATGGCCTATTTCGTGTCATCAGGTACGCCTATCACAGGGAAGGGTTTCATGACGGTTGTCAATGCTTTTGGAGCAAAWGAGAAAAATCCCACAATGTCTTTCGGCCTTCGGCAATCGATCTTGCAAACTAAAATTAAAATATAAACAAATTAAAATGTTCGTTGTGAAAATTAAAATTTGATTTTTTTAAATATATTATATTATTCCTGTTAATTCAACAGCCTTCAATTACGAGAATTGCCGTAAAGGCTGGAGCGAGCCGAAAGGCTGTAAAGTTGGCTATCATGAAAACTTGACCATCCTTTTGGACGATAGACAACCGAACTCAGGCGTCAATATCGACTGGGATAACGTCGATAAYTACGAACACGAGTAAGTATCGATTACAACAGTGCTGCATTTTGATTTTAACGAGTAAATATCGATTATTCAATATACTAATGACYATTGCAAATGATGTAATCTGCGCTCCGAGTGATCATGGTATCTAATTAGTKTTMTTTTTCCCTTAAGGTTTACATCTATATTTCCATATTATCTATATTACAGCCTTTTGCAAAAATTATGAGAATTGTCGAAATATCTAAATATCATAATATCGAGTGCATGATGGGTAATCCCGCGCGATGCCCTAGACTAATGGGAATGGGGGATTCCAAACGGGTTTTGAAATTAAGAAATCRATGCAGTAAAATAAAACCTTCACTTGGGTATACCTTACCGATCACATAACAATTGAGTAAATGTAATTATTTTTTCTTTAATCGCAGTCTCAAATGTCGGTGCCGCAAAAAAGCGAAAGCTTTGAACTATGAATTCTTTGCTATATACAAGGATGGGATATGTCTTGGAGCATCAGGAACATTGAATGATTATTTGAAATTGTAAGTCATTGGCTTATTCTTGTGGGATTTAGAGTTTTCTTTGGAAACTTGGGGGAGAGGGGAAGGGTTCATCATGTCACTCTAGGAGAGCGTCACGCGTCACGCGTCACGCGTCACGTCAAATTCTTCGTAACAGCGAGCAGCTGCCATCTTGGAGCAACTTTAACAAAGGATTTCTCCATATTAGTATCTATTATTCCTTTCTCCAAAATGGCCGCCGGTCTTTTATCTTTTGAATCTCATGGGAATGGTTGAAAACGATCAATTTATAAATACATGGTACTGAGGAGAAGGACGCATCTTCGGCATCCATTAGTTTCAAGGATACACCTTTGAAATAAACTGAAATTAAATGAAGCTGTTTTCTTAAATTCTGAAAGGCATGGCCTAGACGGAGCATCAATTTGTAGTACAGACAYGAGGGTATCTGTAAACGGATTTGTTGGTAGTAATGCTTGCCGTTTTGGCAAGTATCGTGCTTTCTTCTACCAAGTAAGTAGAATGAAAGCAATAGAGCAGTGTAAACTCTGATATCATCCACTTATTAATTGATAATGATTAATCTTAAATTAATGTGGTTCCACTATAAGTCCAGGAGGAGCCGACCGACGGGATCTGTTCAGTCTAAATAACTGTTCTTGTACGAAACAAAACTTGACTATTAAACACAAAAGAAAACAATGCAATTAGAGCGTAATAGGGTGATTAGTGGTGTAATATTAATTTACGGTTTTTTGACACTCTTGTGCAATCTCTCTATCTTGTATCTTACCCAGATTCAGGAAGAAGAGCAGCAAACCGAAAAGGAAGTAACAGAGGAAACAATAAATCCGGATAAACCAGGTTAGCGTAATACATTGAGGTCACTTCGTTAAATTGTCCACCGAAAGGATTTCGAAAATTGAACGTATTAACGGTTGGTCGTTTTAATAGTAACCGGGAAGAAAATTGTAAGTGTTTAGTTTTCTGTGAGGTAAAAAAATCTTGCCGTTATTACCAAGTGACCGTATTAACGGGTGGTCGTTTTAACCGCGGGAGAAAAGTGTAAGTGTTTAATTTTCTGTGAAGTAAAAAATCTGGCCGTTATTACCAAGTGACCGTATTAACGGGTGGTCGTTTTAACCGCGGGAGAAAAGTGTAAGTGTTTAGTTTTCTGTGAAGTAAAAAAAATCTGGCCGATATTACGAAGTTACTGTATTAAGAGGTTGMTCGTAAMGCGGGGTTTCACTGTAGACGATTTCCGTGATACMCAGGCTCACAAAGACGCSGTATTTTCGAGTTCCAAAAGCTCTCTTACTACTGAATAGGCCCATTTCAGACGTCGATCTTTTGTCGAYTGTAYTCTGATTGGTGGAGTTGAGTTTATGAACATCAGTTTGTACTCTGGATTTTTTGACATTAGAAGATTTTGTTCAGTTGGACAAACTTACTATAATCTGTAAATATCAATCGATGTAGACTGCAAACTTCTCGAGAACTGTGCATGTAAGCAATTAGACTAGACGCGGCAAAAGATCGACGGGTCGACGGCTGAAACGGGCCTTATATTTTTGCCCAGAATATATTTCGTTTTCGAGCCTYCGATATTTCGGGCCTGCGATATTTAATTATTTTTTCGAAAGCACCCAGCTATCCCAGAAATTTTCTATTCATCCTCTACYCCGCAATTCAATCTAAGTATATGGACATTTTTTTCTCTCTGAAAGTTGCTTCTCAATAAATGTCCAACCAAATAGGCTCTTCGACCGGTGAGATTTAATTTTCATTACTTGGATGATTTTCAAACTCGATCATTCCTTGTATCTGTTTGAACTTTTCCGGAAAGGCGAATTATATAGATGACTGCATGAAGCGGCCTCACCTAGACACCTAACAATCAATTATTATTATTATCATTATTATTARTTTTTGTTTTTGTRTTTGTAGCTTGCAAAGAAGTTGCAGATGTCTTTATCCTGCTAGATTCATCTGGTAGCTTGAATGAAGAGGGTTTTCAAATTGAGAAAGATTTCACCCTGGAATTCTTAAAACGATTTGACCTGGGGACAAAGACAAAGTCTCGAGTTGGTATCATTCAGTACGATGAAAAGATTCAAAAAATGTTAACCTGGAGTAACAGCAGTGATATGACTTTGCAACAACACTTAGATGTAAGTAAAACTTAATAGTTCATACTATCAAAGAATCCTTTGTTTAGCAGCCATATATGGTAATCTTACCTTATTTGGAAGTACGATAAGACTGGTTTTTGGCGATTTTCTCGACTTTTAAAGCATAAAATCGTACGAAACTTGCAGATATTATAGCGAAAACACTTCCCAACAGTCGGCCAGTTTGTTTGTTTCCATATATGGCATGGATTCGCTAGAGGAAGCCATTTTCATCCGTCTGTGAAATAGGAATTGTACTATTAAATAATATTACCCCCTATATTAGCTCCCAAAAGTTCAAATTATGACATGCGACAAACAAATTAGGCAAAAACGGATTTGATTTTGCCTTTTGGTAGCCTACAACACCCTAATAGCTACTATTAAACAATGATTAGCAGTAATTGTTTCACAGACGGTTAAAATGACTCTAGCCATTATTAATTAAAGCTATATTAAGAAAGCAGAGACGGAAGCGTTGAAGCCACTTGAAAAATTAGCGAACGCTACGAAAAGAAGGAAGGAAAAGCTGTAAAGAACCACCAGAACTC